AGCGAGATGGAGGTGGATGAAGTGAGTGGGGTGAGCGAGATGGAGGTGGATGAAGGGAGTGGGGTGAGCGAGATGGAGGTGGATGAAGGGAGTGGGGTGAGCGAGATGGAGGTGGATGGAGGGAGTGGGGTGAGCAAGATGGAGGTGGATGGAGAAGTCGGTGAGTTCTTTTCCTTACATTATCGGCTGGGAATCCATGTCGATCCCGTCCAGGTCTCATCTCTTCCCTTCATGTTCTCATTCAGTGAGGAAACCAGGTAAAAGAGGAAGGAGGAGGCGAAGGAAGGCAAGGAACTCATTTCCATCGATGAAGAAGGTAAGGAAACGCGGGACTGTCCCGGTCGAAAACCGGGATACGCATACGTAAATGTCATTTTTCCATATTGTGCATCGACGGACCCAATTTCCTATCCTAACATTTTCAATTAGTCCACCTAAATATGAAATGTGAGTTCATTTGGATTTCTTGACAGGTTTCCTTCCGTTCGTGGAAATTCCTGACCTGGCGCGATGTTGTCATGTTGGATGCGGTCGAGTGTTCCTCCGCGGCCTGAAAATTCTCGTTTCAGTCTATGATGTCCACGAAATTCTTGCCAGCTGCCTCACGTGCTTAAGCGGTTTAATATTGCCGCATACCGTTTCATATTGTGTGTCTGCGGTGCATGAGTGAAGCCCTCCCGTCTGCTTGTGTCGCTTGAAAATGAATTGATAATCTTTTTTTATCTGAAAAAATATATTTTATAGATTCAAGAAAAGTTTCCTGTATTTACTCCGACTCAAACCCAGTTATGATTTTGCTGAAGCTAACGCTGAAACAATTACTTGAGGAATGTATTCCTTGCTTAAGTAAAGTCTTCGTGGACGTGGACCCCAATTGAAATAAAACATGGTCCCATGAGATGGTCTGCAGAGCAGCGTGAAGCTACGAATATGAGGAGACGCGTTCAGCGAACTTTTATTATGCTAAACACGTCAGTGTGAAGCAAAGTTTTTTTCTTAACAAAGTCAACGTGGACGTGAACGGCGAGCTTGCCAGGACCGATGAACAGGGTGAGGAAGCTGACAATCGGAAGATGTCTGAGAACCAATGGTCGCTGAATAGAGGAGATTGGTAGAATTCTTCCTTTGGGATAACGGTTTGCAGGCAGCCACACCTCTCCAGATTTCGAGGGATTCCAAAAGCGTTGGCTTTGTGTATGATATTGTTTCGCAGAGAATGGCTATGGAGGTGGATGAATATGTAATGGAGGTTTATAGAGATCGATGGCGTGAGCAGGATGGAGAGAATGGTTGCGGTGGAGGATGGGGCTCGACGGAATATCCAAAATGAAAGGCATGTCATTTTTGAGGCGTTGTAGGCGAGAGACTAAAAAAAGAACTTTTATCCAATTGGCAGTGAATTTCGTAAGTATATTTCCCAGTTGTCATAAGGCATTTGCATTACCCTTTTATTCGTGCTCTAACCCTCTCTCACGCAAAATTTCATGTTAGTGGAGTGGAAACCTTGTCGCAAAAGGTACCGCAAGCGCGATTGAGTGTTTCCCACCTGAGCCATCATATTCTTTGGTTGAAGCAGCCTTCCCAAGTTCACGACACACCTGCGATTGGTCGTCGCAGATTCGGCCAAGTCGAATAATGCCAAAATTAAAATGTTTAAATTCATGCTTTAAAAAGGAAAAATTCATTTGAGAAAAGTTACTTTCATGTAGCCAAAAGCCACTGACATTTTGATGTCCACAGAGCAGCCTGAGGCCACCATCATGAGGAGACAGGATCAGCGAACCTCTATGACGCCACGACGGCATGAAGCAAGTGACGTCCAATGAATGTCAGCGCGAACGTGAACGGCAAGCTTGCCACGATCCAAGAACAGTGTGAGGAAGCCGAAATCCCGATGTCCGAGGAGCGATCGTCATTGATGAAGAGGGCAGTGGAGTTTTAGCGGGGGGTTAGCGGGTTAGAATCCCCTCCCTTGGGCTTCTCGGTCAGCGACACTGACAGGTATATTTAAATGTTTGGGAATTCCAAATTTAGTTATCCCCCTTTGAGGAAAGTTCCACGTCTGTCCCAACATGCCAGACCACGGTTTCTTCGAAAAGGTAAATTCCGGGTAGTGACGCTTGGTGTAGGGTTGGGTGTCTACGTGGCCTCAACCCCCCCCCCCCCCTTTGCCAATTTCCTGTCTATGTCACCGAAAGAGGGTGTAACGCAACAGGAAGTCGCGCGGCGACTCGGATGGACTAAACCGTATTCAGCCATCACTTCATTAAAATTAGCATGGACAGTTAGTTGACTATGAGAATCGCTACATTTCTCAAGGCTCCTGCAAGCTTGTTCCAAGAAGGTCCAAGACTGCGTAACGCACGTTGCGTGCTACAATTTTGGAGCATTTTCGTCACTCCGTTCCTTCGTTGCAGCGATAGCCTTAGCATATCATTTATGTTTTCTGAGACGGTATGACATGCACAGTGGAATCAGCCCATTTTTATCATTGGAAATCTGAACTTTACACACGGCATGGAGAAAACCTAATTAGGCATATTCCTGACGTGGTACGTGCCCAGCGCTCAGAGGTAAGCGAGTACACGCTAATAATGTTCAAGCGGGGTTGACTTGTTCAGCCAAGGACAAATATAAGGCTATCGTAACTCCTCATACGCGGGCGAGCTCTAAATTACCTTGTAACGTTTCATTTGGACGCTATTAAACTTTTACATCCACCTGAAGACTTATGAGTTCATTTGGTTTGCTTCACAAGTTTCCTTCTCGCCTTGGAAATTCTTGGTTTGGCGTGATGTGGCTATTGTTGATACGGTGTAGGCGGCTCCGACGTGATTTAACGTTAATGATAATCACGAAGAGATCGCCAGCGTGTTCGAGGTTTATAATGACTCCGTTGACTCCTTAAATATACAACTACTTTATTGTGACAACCAGCTTGTAAAGAGGTCAATAATAATGAGAACCAGGAAAAGGATTGGTTTCTCCTCACTATTCTACAATTCGACTCCCTTGTCCGACTCACTCACTTGACATCCCTGACTCGACCCGACCCGACCCGCGCTACTCTCTCGCGCGACCCTTTTATTCCGTTATGCCGGACATGCGCATTATCTTTTACTGTGATTTCATCATCTTTATAAAAGTACCTCCTACAACGGCTCTGAGGTTGGCCGACTGCACCGCGGCTCAAAAAGTTTTTTTCTCCAGTATACGAAATCGACAAAATCCCAGTCAACTTCTGCTGCTTTGTCGGTTTCATATTGGAGCATGCAGTTTCATGTCGTTTATCTGTGGCATGATGTGAAGCAGCATAGTCTGCTGGCCAATGGCAGATACAGAAATTTGTTATATGGGGAGCGGTTCCCAAGTTCCAACCCCCCCCCTTCCCCCCCCCCCCCCTCCCCCCATCACTCCCCGTCCTTTCGCCTTTTTCATTTTTCGTCTGGGGTAAAAACTTAAATACATATTTCGCTGGCCCCAATAAAATTATTGCAGATGCTACTTTAAAAAAAAAATGGCCATGGCCAGGTTAGCATTCTATTAATAATTTAAAAAAAGAATGCTAACCTGACCATGGCTAACCTTCCCCCCCTCCCGGATCCGTCACTGCAGCCGACTTTGCATGGAAATAAATTCCTTGCAAGCTGGCTTCACATCTATCACCTGTCCTAAGGACTTTATGCGCCTAAAAATTGGTTACCTTGAGTATTCCTGAAGTTCCTCCGATCAAAACTAGGCTGTTAGGATTTGAGATATTGGATGCGGGAGAGGTCTACAAAAACGTAATCATAACGCTCCATCTTTCTCGTTTTCATATATTCTTCGAATATGCAACGCATTGAGCCGAATAATTGGCAGATGATACCCTATAAAATGACTGATCCGTCTCAGGCTTTTTCACAAGGGATACTTGAGAAAAGATTGAAACCACAGCATCAAATTTAAAAAATTCATTGAACAATGAATTAAATTGATGTTTGATTTTCATGCAACAGCATTATCCAATCACAGCAAAAAAAAAGGCGATAGCAATAGTGAATATCACACTATATAAAACGGTCAAATTAAGTAAAAACTTCACACTGTGATAAGTGCAGTGTCAGCTGCTGTGGTAATCAAATTTCAGGGAGGCACATTCAAGGGCATGGGCTTCCAAATCCTCACTTTCCATCTCTTCGTTACATATGGGACACTGGAATATGATAAAACCATAATACTGAAAATTACTTATGCTCGTTCAGAACAAAATTAATTCTTATGGCATCATAGTGGGAAAGAGAAGAAAGAATTTAAGAAAACACTTACCTTTGTTGTTGAGAGGGAGGAGTCAGAGCATGATGATGCATGAGCAGCTACTTCTTCCATTGGGAAAAATTCTATAGAAAATATTCATACCCAATTAAAGCCGATAATATAGCTCTGTTGAATAACCAAATAAGTGAGAAACTCAACCAATTTAATTTTAAGGTTTACCTGTTATCAAAGAGAGTTAATTTTTTTGCATTAAGAATTACAAATATGATGATTCCATACAACGTAGAAAGGGAAAATACAGTAATGCAAGTATGGGATCATGAATACCCTACAACTTAATGGGAGAATCATCATTGGAGGTATGCTTGAAGCAAATTATGAGTTCAGAAGCACACCTTCACAAGGTAAATGTGAAGATGTGCTTCACAATTGCAAGGGGCAAAAGGAATGAGTGAAACCTGTATGAGCTAACTATAATTTGTTCCCAGCCAATATATTTATTGACAAAAAGGTTCAAAAAGTTTGGCCTAACATGAAATACATGTAATATTCATGGCAATGTATGTTGTTTCTGTTGAAATGACAAGCTGCCATGAAAAATAAAGAATTTTCAAGCAGATGGCCAGCTCCAAGAGGTGTTCAGTATAACAGGTTTCATCATAAACAAGGAATTGCATGTTTGTTTGGGATGAACCCAAGGGAATCCAAGTGCTAGAAATGGAGAGAAACAGAAATATATTCTACTAGCCTGAACAGATTGGGCATTCCACCAGCATTTCCTTATCCATCAAGGGTTGCTTCTCAGCTTTATTTGCTGTAGTTCCTTTGCTCTCTGCTGATGTCTTTTGGATGATCTTGGTTGGCATTGAGGGCTTAAAGCTTGATGGTATCTTGGAGGTTATGTCTGGAAGTTCTATCACATCATCATTTGAATCTAAAGTACTTGTGAACAGTTTTTTTCGGGATGCTTTTGGCATTGAGATAGGATGGGGATCAGAACTGACCCCAACATCCATCCTGGCCAAATCATTGCGATTCCGGATGTTATCAACAAGTGTCCCGGCACAAGAAAGGCCAAGGCAGTCGTTTTGTCGAGATTCAGAGACCAGTGAGCTGATGCGACGTCTCTTGGCACTAAATACTTCATCACTTGATGGATTGGGACGTTTCTCTGCACTTGAGCCACTAGGCATGTGACTTGAACTTGATGTGACTCTTGGCGTGTGATGAAACGAGAAAGCAGGTTTCTTGTTCAGATCTTTAGATTGCGAGTCCAGTTTCATGGCAAAATTCTGGGCAAGCTGAATGAAAAGCAGCTTCTCTTGCTTGTCCAGAACCTTACTTCGTGCTGACTCCAGTTGTCTTCTCAGGTCTGCCAATAATTTTGCAAGAAATTCATCAACAGAAAATCCTGTAAAAGCTCACAAAGATAGCACTTTGTGTTAAGAAAATTTTTAAAGCAAGCAAAGTAACACTGAAAGCCCACACAGCTGATGGGCAGGGGGTTACTTGCAAGTTTCTGGATGTGCTGTGAAAACTGTCTCACTTCCCCAGTCTTGTACCTTTGCTGCTATGTGCAAGGAAGACTGGCAGGAAGATGGAGGAGGGGGGGGGAGGGGACCAGGCAGGGGGGATGTCAGCAATTATCAGTGAAATCTTTGGGGGTAGTGCAAAATATGATGGAAGCATAACAGACACATGACACATTAGCATACTGAGGCAATACAAATCTTTTAAAAGTTACTTTCCACCTAATTCCACAATAGAGGTCCATTTTAAATGTTGAATCAATATATGCCTGCTCATTTTCTAACACCTCACTGATTGGGATTCATTTTCCACTTTTGTTTTCCTTATATCTATACTGTTATAATTCAATAATTCAGAGTGTGTGTGTGTCCATAATGGCCATGCCTCTGATCCCAGTCTAACTAAACTTTGCATAGCTTCCTTGTTTGGTCTGGGGATGGTCATAGGCTAAGTGACGTTTCAAAATATGAACCCCCCTGGGGTATCTTATTCAGGGTTTACATTAACTTGCTATAGCAAGTCCCTGACTCATATTTTCTTGCAGGCTAGGCACCAAGACACAAGATTTAAAAAAGCTAGAGTGAACCCTGCTTATTTAGTGAATATTTGGCAGATTCACTACTACAGACCCCCCAAAGGAGTAAAAAATTTGGGGGGGGTTACTGAAATACAAAGTTGTAGAGGGTCTCCATGTTAAAAAAAAAAAAACAATATTTCCATTGCACCTTGCAGCAGAGTGAGTTCATTTACCCAGAGAGCAAACAAACTATAATTTGATTAAGATATAAATAAACATATCCACACCAGTTTAAATGATGAATGTTCATTTAATGCTTTTGTACCTTTTCTGAAATTCATTTTTTAATAGTGAGAACAGGAATCAGGAGTTAATACAGGGTGTTTGAAAAGTCACTGTGCAGTAGCATTAAATTATTTTGTTGCATGTATTTAGTATTGTACTGCATATCATATGTACTGCATCAAAGACATGAATTTTCACTCAATATTTCATCAAATATTAGCATCATCCCTAGTTCACATAATTTATTGTCCTAGCTACAGTGAGGCCTCCTATGTCATGTTGTGGATTCTACTGCACCATGACTTTCTGAACACCCTGCACTATAGAAATAACTGCAAATATGGCTTTTTCTGATGACATAAACATCCTTTTAGAATTTATCTTTTAGTACCAGCAAATCTGAAGAGAATACTTCAGAGCAGTTGTGACTTTGTTGGATAGAAATCTGATCCTGTTCTTTGGCATTTTTTCACCAAAAACTCTAACATCATTCCCCAAAGCAAACAAAGACAGTAAAATAGAACACAGGGATGGGATTGATCTGGTTCAAGAAGACCATTGAGTCATACTTACTTGAAACCTTGAGTTCCTTCAGGTCAGCTGGCTTCAATTTAAGACCAGTGAGGAACTGGAGTGCTTCTGCCTTGAATGATGAACTTTGCTCTCCTTGGGAATGGGTCGCAAGGGATACTAATTGGGCAGAGCGAGACAGCACACCGTTTTTTGACCCACTCATCGGACTGGTACCAGAGAAATGACGAGATTGCTCCAGAGCCAGCACACTTCAAAGCAGATCCAAAACCCATAAAAGTCATGCAGTCATGAAGGAGATTAGAAGGGCAACTGATGTTTGACATGGGAGGAAATTTTACTTGGAAGACAATTTGGGTTGCTTGGGGCTTGGGAGTTGAAGGCCTCGGAAAAGCAACTCTGTCTTTGGCACCAAAGGAGATGCTTCCAAGCTGACATGGACATCATTGTTGTCTGAATAAATTCTAATGAAGCTGAGACCAAACTGACTGTCTTTGCGAAATGGTTGACAACAGATAATCCTCACTCTGTCCCATTTCTCAGATAGGGCTCCATGACTCATATCACCTAAGAGGAACAAACCTCTGAGCTACAAAGTTGCTACAGAGCTACAGGGCTCTGTAGCAACCAGATGAAGTATCTAGCTGTGAGAATGTCTTTATTCTACATTAAAACATTAATTGAAGTCATGCAAAGGTAAGAAAAAGAAGCAATGGGAGTAATATTAAGGAAGCTTGGGAACAGGACCAGAAACCATGCAGGGATTCAGGAATGCGGAAAGCACATTTGCAAGTATCTGAATGAGAGTCAGAAATGCTAAAGTTCCACTCTCAACTACCATGCTGAAAGACAATAAAGGAATTATACAATGACTGAGGACTGAAAAGTAATGACCGAGTATTTTAATAATGATAAAAATTAAATGTAGGACAAGGATAAATAATACAGGCCTGAATAAATACAATTTGAAAATTGCTGAGATGCATACATGAGTCATTCTTGACTTTGTAATCAATATTGCAATTCAGATGATAGTGAAATACTTGTAACATTATGGTAGCATGTGAACATATTTGTGATGATGCATCATGCAGGTTATTCAATTAACACCCCTATTTTAGATGGAAACATACCAGAAGAGAACATTCTAACACAATTCCTCTCTTGATCAAGTCTTGCCTGGAGAGGGGTCATCATATTAAAAGTTGGGATCAAGAGCACATATTCTTTGTCCTTATGCCAGCTGGACTTCCCCACATAAAGGGCCACAGATGCTGATCCATTGTTACCTGAAAGAAGAAAGCTGCCACCAGTTGTATGAATTCCAGTCTCCATATAAGGGAAAATGAGGTTAGAAGCAATTCCCAAATTCCCAATCAACTCCCAAAAAAAAGTGTAAACCACATCATCAAAACAAGTCAATCCCACTTTCTTTGAGTAACCAGCAAGAAAAGAAATAATTAGGTAGGAACATCTGATTATATAGGTTGTAAGAACAGAAAATAAGTCTTTTTCATTATTATTTTAGCACTGTTAATATAGTAACACCTCAAACTGGTATTGCAAGTACACATTAGCAACCTCATGCATTAGCCTGCAGTGGTACTCCAAGGCAGAGGCGGCAGTGGTACTGGCATGAGGGTCAATGCCTCTGTCTAGATTTTAATTTTATTTAATTAATTAATTACTTTTGCAGTATGATAAAATGGCCCAGCTTGTTTAAATGCAATTCAATTGAGCATTTCATTTCAATGCCTGATAGAGATGGAGAGGGTAAAAGTGCTGACATGTGCACCTTCCTCATTCATCCTGGGCATGCACATGTCTTTCTTGCAAGCACTTCTCTCTCATTTCCACATGACACCCAACCTTTCTTGGGCTATCCATCTCATTTCTGAACAGTTAACCAATCCATCAAGCAAAATCCAATTCAACCTATTCATCTACAAAATCAAAGATATAATTTCATGTTTAGGAAGCAGGAGGAGAATAACATTCTCGAATAATTTAAACAATTTTTCTTAGACCTGCAAGAAACCAAGGTAGACCTCATTCATCTATGGGTAACATAAGTTGTAAAAGACTTTGACTATAAAGTATTTAACACATCTGCTACCAAGGGAAAGATGAATTCACTATTCTAGTTTTCCTTAAATGCAAACTTCATCTGGACACAAGGCAGTGGCAGGTATAGGGGGGGGGGGAAGGGGGGCAACTGCCTATGGCAAGGTTAGCATTTGATTTATTTATTCTAAATAGTATCTGCATTAAATTTTATTGTAGTCAGTGAAATAGATACTCAAGTTCTTACCCCAGATGAAAAATAAAAAAGGCAAAAGGACAAGGCATGGTGGTAGGCAGGGGGAGTGGGTAGGAACTTAGGAACTGCCCCCCCTAAGAAAAATTTCTGTATCTGCCCCTGACACAAAGCCATTCATTCTTATTTGATTAAAAAAAATAATATCTGGGTCAAAAGTACAATTCAGTGTCTAAAACAACCCAACAAAATGCAAAAGAATGTAGGCCTAGGCACAACTGCCTGGCATTGACTGAAAACACTCCGGTCACAAACCCACCTATGTCAACATGTGATATGGAGACATATCTCTCTAGCTGGATATCAACTTCAGCACGATCCAACTTCTCCCTTCTGTCAGTGAGCCACTTCAGTCCCCGAGTCAGGTTTTCTGCTGGGTAATTTACATCCTGCAGGAGAGAGGCTCATGTATTGAAGCACTAGTTCCAAAGTTAACCATTTTTTACCAATCGTAAACTTCACAAACAATGACTGATAACAAAATGAGACTTAGAAATCATTTCCTTAGGAGGAGAAAGTATAAGAACTGTAACTCATAAGTTATTCATCTTCATGCATATTCTAAGCTACATTTGCTAATCTAGATCTCACTCAATAGCTAAATTTCATATGACTTAGTCATTTCTTTAGTGATTCACAATAGTTTTCAATGAGGTGGAGGAGTGATGACTGATCTACTGGTCAACAGGTAGCTATGTTCCCACTTGGACTCATTCTTGATCTGTTGACCAATTGTCCAACTGGGCAAGAAAATTTTATAGGAATGCACCCAATTTTTCATTAGCAGTGGCTATGCCCAGTTTAAAATTCCAATTGAAATATTCCAGCTGGGCCAAATCTGTAAATTCAGACCATTTCCAGTTGGCAAAGAGCTGGAAAATAGTAGGTACCAGTTGTTTCTTAGCTGGAATTTTCCAAAAGGAATGCAGCTGGTTTTAATAGCTGCTTTCAGCTGGAAAATTTCCAGTTAGAATTTTATAAAGAGGACCCGACAACTGGAATGTAGTTAAATTTACAGTTGAAAATCAGCTGTTCCTGTAGATGGACCTCTGACAAAAATAGTCAACGAAAAGATTCACATTCAGTTAGTGTTATAGTAATTAGGAACAAGTCTGGAGATTACTACTTTCCAGCTGTTACCAGGCTGGAATGGGTTTGAATTTACAACTGTTTCCAGCTGGGATTTTAAACTGGGTGGATACAGGGTTGTATCCCCTCCCTTCCATATTCCTTGCATGGAACTCATTTTCCTTATTATTGGCTAAGCAATCCCTTCATTATCCCCCCCCCCCCATCTTGGGATCCAACACCAACAGGATTCTTTTCATGTTATACACAAACCATTCAACTGTCATCAAATGAAATGCAATTGAAATAGTCCATGAAAAAAGCAAATCCTTGGCTTCCTTATCTCCACCTCTAGAATATATAACAATATCTCGTGGGTCTGGGTCAACTGCCAGAAGTCTTTACTTCCTGGTGTATAGTAAGGAGTATCCCTTCCCTTTCCATGTGTTAATGCCACACACAGGCTGTCCTACACAGATAGTCCCATGGCTAAAAACCAAGTTCTATATCTCATACCAATCGTTTTTAACCATTTCAGTGAGTCGTTCCAGAGTATTTGACCAGGACCGCTATTGTACCAACAAAAGCAGAGTTAATTATGGAGTTGCTCAACTACACAGAAAAAATCTATAGGATAAGCCAAGGCCAGGGCCTACATAGCCAGCAATTTCAAAGCCTTGGTTTAACACTTACTTGAGAGGAGAAGGAAACGACGAAACTGAGCTTCACAAGTGGCATCCCCAAGAGCAGACTTTTATACCCCAATTGTATGGTAGCCTCCACATGAGTTAACCTTCAATACAATGGTTCGCTAACGTTCTGCCTATGGTAGGCCTATGCCTATCATGTTTCGTTCCAACAGGAGTTCTATCAAGGGCGAAAAAGGGCACTCATGAATATTTAACGTCTTTCATATATTCAGTTGATTCTTATAATTGAAATTATGAAGCTTTAAATATTTCTTTTTATAGCTTGGATGCGACAGCTTTTCAGATACTCCAACACCTAACATTTCCACGCATGGGCGTCCGAGTAAATAGAAAAAATGTCGAACTGAGTGTGGGGAAAAAAAAACAACTAAGATCAAAGAAACACCCAGATTTCGCAATCATGCATCTCTCGCGCCCATCAGCAAGGAGGAACCACTGAGTTCAGTGGGATGAACACGTGAGATGGATGGCTGGCAGGGATGCCCCACCCTGGCTTTTAACGTCTAATATAGAAAACATGCCAGTTTTCAATAAGAGCCTTGAATTGTTTCATATACTGTATTTTGAAAAGTTATAAAAAAATGATTATGCAGTGCTTTACGCAATCTGAAATCTATTGCACGCATGTACGAGCACATATGCAATGTTCCCAGCAAACATACTAACATCCAATCAGCGTTGTATGAACGTTAATTTTGAACCTTCCAAGTGTTTGGTTGGCGTTGCAGCTAACATTAAGTCACTATTGCAATGTCGCTTATCGGAACACTCAGATGAACGTTGAAGTTCAACACTAGCTGAACGTTGAGCCAACATTGCATTGTCACTTATTTGAACACTAACTCCCACCCTTGTAGCATTCCATAATTGGTCAATAATGAAGGCAATAGATTAAATATTATTCTGAAAGTACTAATCTTAAGAAAGTACTAATCTTGGTACTTTACAGAGAACGGCTATCCCCTTTTTGCTCTGTGGAGTACAGAAATCCTCCTTTCCTTCACTGGGAGTGGAAAAATAATTCTCCCTTTGCAAGTGCGGAGAATAGTGCCAATGTATATGATCGGGTTTGTTGAAACTCTTTCTATAATAATTGTGCACTGGTTTTTATTTATTTTTTATTTTTTAAATTTTATTTTATTTTTTTTTTTAAGATTAGGAGCTAATGGGGGGACTGGCCCCTCTCCCTGATGGTGGGTACATCAGGGGTCCCGCCAGTCCCGGTGAAACCCTCCTGCGAGCGGGCTGGCAGGTGCAAGACCCCCTCGAAGCTGATTTAGACAATGGGAATGGTCCCCATTGTCCCGGTCGGAGACCGAGGTTTCTCCCGTCTGTTTTACAGATTACTCATTAGTTAGGACAGTTG